TCTACAAGGGATGTCTGAGGCAGCATGGAACAGTCACGCTTGGGGTGTGGTGTGGAAGGGAGGAGATCTCACAGTGGAGGGACTTTGCCACTAAGCCCCCGACTCACTGGCCTATGGAGAACGTCAGAATAGTCCCTGCATCAGGACTGTGTCCCACTCCCAACCTGGAGTTGCCCTTCTCACAAGGGAGGGCTTTAATGTTCTCATCATCAACAGACCAGAGGGGACACTGGGGACTTTATGGAGAGTCCCAAATCTTACTAAGGCTTAGTCATGTTTCCACTCTCCCACTTCAAATGCTAAAACTCTAGACTATTTTCTAGCTACCTTTGCACACTCTTACATATGCTAGGCTTGCTTTTTGCCTGAGCATCCTTCTTTCTTTGCTTAAATGCTGCATAAACCCATCCCCAGTGTGAGTCAAACTCTTCGTGGCTGTGTCCTCTGAACCTCACTGCAATCTAATGAGATGGGAAGGGTGGTGTCACCAAGCCAAGTGCATGTTTTCCTACGATAGTAGTTAGTGAGCATTTATAAGACACAGGTGCGTGGCAATACTATCAGAACCCTTTGTGTGACCTAGGGACAGACTCAGAGAAGCTTGCTTAGTATCTGGGATATGTGAAGTCCTGACCCAGAGCCCCATGTGGAACCCATTTGAGCATGTCACAGTGATGATGGAGATAGCTAGTTAGGAGCCTGAGCTAGTTCCCCCCAATCACAGGGCAGGGATGGGTAGGGCTTGGCTGGTCTCTTGCTTTCTGTTTTTGTGCAAGTAAGAACGCTATTCCCATGCTAACCTGTTATATTCCACTCTGTAGTGTAGCTCAACACAGGAGAGCCCATCTGCCTGACTAGTTTCAGCATTGTAGATTGTCATCTTCTAATGAGGCAAGAGACAGACCCAAATAGAGTAGAGCCAGTGAGGTGGAATTAGGCTCATCCTACAAGAACTGCTCCAAGGACTCAACTGTTGCCATGACGGCCTGTACAGCCCTGCCTCCACCAAGTGCCCTTCGAAATCTGGGTCCAAGAAAAATTGCAGAGTACATAAATAACACGCCTGATAGATCTGTACTTGGAAATAAATGGCCTCATTCTAAATATGGAAAATCTTATTTATTCTTGCTTGCATCTGCTTCCTTCTCCTGCCACTAAATACGTTATCCAAGGTGCCGGGAGCAGAATGTAATGGGGGGTTAAAAAAGAAATCAGAGAACATCAAGCCAGAAGGCAAATGCAGCTTTTACCTCGCCAGGCTTGAAGCCTCTCATGCTAATCAGCACTGTGCGATTTGCATATTACACAGTGCTAGCAAGGCTCATTATCATCAGAGATCGGCAATTTTTCACAAATCAACTCCCTGAGAGCCGCAGTCTGTTCTGCACATGCCTAAGGCAACCACCAGGTGGCAGCATCTTTCTCTTTCCTTCCTTCGCTGAGGTTGTTTTGGATTTCTTACAGAATTTTCACCTTCCAGGCCAGCCTTGTGGTGCAGCAAATCCAAGGATACTTATGAGCGCCTTAAATTGCAGCCTCTTTTTCTCTTAAGGCACTGTTAAAGTATGGGGAGGTGTCGACAGATAATCTATGATTGGAGATATTTGTTAGAATTTTCTTGGAGCGGGATCTACAGGGCTAAAGTCCGTGGCTTGGCCCGTGTCCTCTTGCTTGACTGACATAGGGCCTCATGTAGCCCAGGATAGCCTCCAGCTTACCATGCAGCAGAGAATGACTTTGAGCTCTGAACCTCCCAAGTGCTGGGATTACAGCACCACATCTGGTTTTGTGTAGTGTTGTGAAGTGAACCTACTGGCACTTTCTAACTGAGCTACATGGCCGGTTCCATGCTCTCAGATGTCTATGTATCACCAGGGAGAAGCAGGGACTTGTGGACGGCTCACTGAAGTGCCACCCACTACGTATGGCGACCTGACCACACGGCACCACAAAACAGAGCCTCTGTCATCCTCCTACGCAGGGAAGTAAACTGAAGTCCCAGCGATGCCAAAGGCAAGAGCGACACTGACACACTCACATCAGGCCTGACCAGGTCTCTTTAAAGCAGGTACTGGATCCACTGAATTGCACAACCCCATCCATGCCTTCCTTATGTCTGCTGGGATCTCGGTGCATAGAGACAGCTATGGGAAGCAGAGGCAACGTGGAAGCCTGTGACCACGTGGCTGGGCCCAGCATACTGAAAGGCCCTATTACATGCTCTCCAACTCCCCCCTTGGTTCTGTTTGGTCCCAGACTCAGCTTCACACTTCCATGAAGCAGAGAAGGTGTGGGAATCTCTGGAAGGGATTGGGTACCCTGGAGTCAAGTTGGCAAGATTCAGAAGTCACAGAACTGGTTTTTAGTTTCCACCTGACTGCAGCAGGGTGCTGGGGGATGCTTCGGGGTACTTACTGCCAGCTGCAACTGGCGACTGTCCCCCATTCCATTCATCTCTGCCTTATTCTTTCCAAATGTGCCTGGTCATTCAAAAAGGCAGGTTCTGCCCTCTGCGCACTGTCAAAGGAAAGCTCAGCTTGGCTGTGGAGTGAGGGGCTCTGACACACTGAGTACTTTCCTGGAGCAGAGATCAAGCCTTAGGGTTACCCTGGGTCCCTAAACTCCTAGTACCTTCTCCAGAGCTCCCAAATGCCCAGGCCTGGAGAGAACTAGTGAGAATCTCTAGTTATGTGAACAGTGGCCCTCTTGGAGGAAGCAAACCTTGCTTAACACAGCTGAAAGGTCCCCAAGGTGGGGTAACATGGGGACAACCACTTTTTAAAAGTCAATCCCTCCCCCCATTTTAAGTCTCTTTATTAGGAGAAGTTTGTGTTGGGTTACACTCCCCAGGGTCCCAGATCTGAAGCTGTAATAGAAGACAGATACAGGAAGAGTCTGGAAAACATGCCCTGATCATATCTCAGTGGAAAGAACTATGGGGGCAACTTAGAAACCTTTTGGCAGACTACTTCTTGGATTAATGGACTGATGGTTGCCTGGTTTTCTAATTTTCATTCTACAGTCTCAAGTCATAATATATCATTTTCCCCAAGTGTCTATGTATTACGGACACATGCCATTCAGTTAGGTTGTGGCAAAATGCCATCTTGCTGTATAAACTTCAAAACTACAGGTGCGGGTGCTGTAGAACTGCTGTTTCCCATGGGAGGAACTGAAGCCAACAGCTGCGGCTCTGGAGATGACAAATGCCTGGACTACACCTGAGTGACAGACAGAAGTTGATATATGTGGTCTGTCTTTGCTTCCTAGTCGGGCTCACTGCCCGCTGTCACTGAGGGAAGGGTCCTTGAATTCTCTTCCTTCCTTCTCCTTGTTCACCAAGTATCCATGTTGCTGAACCCCACGTTTAACCAGAGGCTTGGGGTCTGTCAGAGACTCGAAACGTAATTCAGGATGAAGGCATCTCCAGGGATGCATCTTGTTATCTAAATTTCTCACCCCTTCCAGGGCTGAGGCGTAGGAAACAGTGGTGGGACAGGGTGTCACTTTTAATGGATGCCCTGCATTCTGGAGAAGGGGTTGAAAGTGTGATTCTGAGTAGACCATACAGACAGAGTCTCAGTGAGTCGAGGCATGGTACTAGAACTCCTTTCAGGGTGGTGGAGAGTCCCAGAACTTCATGGAGCAACACCTCCCAGAAATGTTCTCCGGTAACATCTATTTAAAATTCCAACATCTTTCAGTCTTGGTACCCACCGAGCTATCTGCTTTTCTTTTAATAGACTGATTGCCAGATGTATTTATTTCTTTAGAAAGAGAAGGCAGGTACTTCCTGTGGGGGAAGTCCAGTGGGTGACCCTATAGGAGCCAGGGAGGCAGAATTCCACACCGAGCTGCTCAGCACCTCTTAGGAGAGTCATGTTCCTCGTGCATGGCCCAGGTTCACTGCGTCAGAGTTCACTTCTGCCTCCAGAGCTGCCAGCGATGCTCAGCAGAACTAGAGATGGCTGAACACTTCCTTCTAAAACCAAGAGGCATGAGCATAGGCCTCCATTATTACACCATGTGTCCTTGACACTACTAGATGAGGAAAGCATTAGAAATGGGAGTTTAGAATTATAGAGTCCACTACAGTGAAGCTTCTGTAATGAGAACAAGAAACGGAAGTCTAAAGAAGAAACAGTGAACAGAATAATTAAGGTTAGAGACCACCATATGAGCCATCAGGTATCAGTTGTACCTACTGTAGATTTTAAATTTCACCATGCTACCCTAAGGTGCAGATGTATCTGTCTTATTCCTGCAACCAATGCATACTTGAAAAGCCTTAAAACTATAGACATTGAACACACGTCATTTACCCAGTGCTCTTGAGGTTGAGTAATTGTAAGCAAGGTTTCTCAAGCCTCAAGGAGACTTCATCCTGTGTGCACTCAGATTTCTCTTCTTTCAAACAAACCATCTATTTACGTTGAGTTAAATGATCAGCAGTCTTCCTAAAATGCCCAATGTATCGGCTTGCATCAAATGTAGACGCAGCCTTGATTTCCAGAAGCAGGGGTTTTGTAGTTTCCCCCATTCTGCACCACACAGAGGCTGCCGAGGCGACATTCTGCTTGTCTCTGGGGATGGTGCCTATGTTTCTTTCTGGCAGTCAGAAGGATGCTTGCTGGGTCACACCCACTGTATTACAGTTGCCAAGGAAGATGCTCACACAAGGTGTGTGGGGTATTTATACACCTCCTCATCAAAGAGTTAATGAAAGCTGAAGATCTGGCTTGCCCCCAGGCTATTAACCCTGAAGCATGAAACAGAAATTGATTTTGCAACAAGATACTCTAAACCCTACCACCCCTCCCCCAACCCCAGGAATGTCTTTCTGTAATTGTTCTGGGTGGCTGGTGGCTCAGTAGAGGATGAGTCATCTCCAACTTCAGGACACTACACCACTGGTGAACTGGGAAGGCGACGCAGACCTCTTACCATGTCCCCCGTATTCCTCACCCTTAGAACGGCATCCCTGCTAGACGGCCCCTGGATTCCTGCAGACACTGGACTCTGAGCCTGGCTCTCTCTAACTGTCCTACTGATTTTAAGATTCCTTGACTTCTCTCCAGAAACTCCATATTCTGCTTGGGTCACCAGATTGGATGTCCATTGTTTCCAAGAACACTGGCCATGGTGGATTCTTCAGTGAATGTTGTCATTTGACTGGAAACACCCCTGAGCGGTTCATGGTTTGAACCCTTGGCTCCCATCTTGTGGTGCTGTCTTACAGACCCTTAGTAGGGCCTGAGGGAGGTGGTAGATTAATAGGGAGGGGCCTTTAAAGGCCGTCACCACATCCTGGTTCTGCTATAGCTCCCTCTGCTCACTGGTGAAGCACAGGACACAGGCTGAATGCTCTGACTGCTATGAGACGGAGCTTCTGGTCACACCTTCCTGGCTATGGTGGCTTCAAATTGCTTGGAAGCCATAGGTCAAATAAACTTTGCTTCCCCAACGAGCTCCTGTCAGGTGTATGGTCACAGCAATGCAAAAGCAGCTGGCACAGAGAATGTGACACCAGGGCAGTAGGGCTGTTGCTGTGACTAAGTGTCATAGTGCGGGTCTGCGGCCTTTGGAACTGACTTTTGGGAGGAGCTTGGAAGAGTGGGCAGATGCAGTCTAGAGGGGCCCAGGCACCCTGGAGGCGGAGTCTGGCAGGTAACTGATTGCACAGGGTGTTCAGAAGACCCGTGTCTGATGGAAACACACATGGGAAAGACTGATGGAGAAGCTTCAGACGGAAACAGGGCTCGTTGGGGACCCAGGTGAGAGGCCATTTTTATTGCTTGATAGCAGAGGATCTGGCTATGCCTGGTTGTATCCTGAAAGCTTGAGTAAGGTTGGATTTATTTATTATCTATCTATCTATCTATCTGCTCTCCTTTTTTATTTAAAATTCTTTTTCATTTTACATCCTAGCCCCAGTTTCCCTCCCTCCCCCGCCCCCCATTTCCCCTCATCCCATACTCCATCCACTCCTCAGAGGGGGTAAGGCCTCGCTTGGGGAGTCAACAAAGTTGGGTATACCAAGTTGAGGCAGGACCTAGACCCTCCTTACTGCATCCAGGCTGAGCAAGATATCCCACCATAGGGAATGGGCTCCAGAAAGCCCGTTCATATACCCAGGATAAGTCCTGGTTCCACTGCCAGGGGCCCTTCTAACAGACCGAGCTTCACAAAACTGTTACCCACATTCCGAGGGCTTAGTTTGGTCCCATGCAGGGCAGTAGAGCTGCTGTCAGTTCTGGTCAGCTGTCTCTGTGGTTTCCTCCATCATGATCTTGACCCCCTTTGTTCCCATGATCCCTCCTCCCTCTCTTCAACTAAGCTCCAGGAGCTCAGCTCAGTGCTTGGCTGTGGGTCATTGCATCTGCTTCCATCAGTTACTGGATGTAGGTTTTATGATGACAATTAGGGTAGTCACTAATCTAATTATAGGAGAAAGCCAGTTCAGGCACCCTCTCCACTATTGGTAGGAGTCTTAGCTGGGGTCATCTTTGTGGATTCCTGGGAATGTTCCTAGTATCTGGTTTCTCTCTTACCCCCTAAAGGCTCCCTCTATCAAGATATCTCTTTCATTGTTCTCCCTCTCTATCCCTCCCACAACTTTGCCATCAGGAGCCCTCACGTAAGGTTGAATTTAAAAGTCACTGAGAAATTAAAATTTTCAGAGGAAATTTCAAGGTAGCATATCTGGCACAGTTATTACTGCTGCCTTTAGCAAGATAAGATAATGGTAATTCCAACAAAACATGGAGTAGAAGGATTTGAGGATGAACCAGGGAAAGTGTGTTTAACGCAGACAAAGCAAGCATCAAGCATAGACAAAATGGCAATACTTGTCTGTGCTGGCTAGTTTTATGTCAATTTGCCATAAGCTAGAGTCATCAGAGAAGAGAAAGCTTCAGTTGAGAAAATGCCTCCATACAATTGGGCTTTAGGCAATCCTATAGGACATTTTCTTAATTAGTGATTGATGGGGGAGGGCCCAACCCATTGTGGGTGGAGCCACCCCTGGGCTGGTGGTTCTGGTGTCCTATAAGAAAGCAGACTGAGAAAGTCACAGGGAGCAAGCCTGTGAGCAGCTCTCCCCCATGGCCTCTGTATCGGCTCCTGACTCCGGGTCCTGCCTTGCTTGAGTTCCTGTCCTCATTGCTTTTGGTGACAGGCTGTTACATGGAAGTGTAAGTTGCTTTTGGTAACCCTAAGACACTATTACAAAGATTAGTGCCACTGAAGAGTCACACCATTTGTGCTGGGATTGTAGAAAAGGATGTTGAGGACAAGGTCCCACCCGCCAGCGATTCCAGAGCATAAAGATGAAAGACTCATCTGGAAAGAGAGTGCTTCCAGGGCTTGGCCCAGTCTTTCTTTGCTATCTTCACAATGCTTCTTTTGTAATGATAATTTTTAGCCTTTTGAAGCTCACAGCTTAGAGACTGTCTTGAGTACTAATAGAGTCCTTAGGTTTTTTAACAGTGTTGGGACTGTTAAGCCTTGGGGATCGTGAAGTTGGATTGGCTGCATTTAGTATTATGAGCTGGCCAGGAACCTGTGGGGGCTGGGGAGGAATCCTAAGGGTTGATTGTGAAATGTCTCCTATGTGTCCTTATTTGGAATGGTTTGTCCCTATTTTGAAGGCAGTGCATCCTTTGAGAGGTGGGGCCTGGCTGGTAGAAGACCTGCCTTTGGTCCCAGTCTGTTCTTTCTGCTTCCTGGTCTGCCATGATGTGAACAGTCACACATCCAAAGCACCCTTTCCCCTCTTACTGCTTCTCTCGGGTATCTTGTTCAGGGAGGCACATGGGTAGTAATGCAGAATGGCTTCCCAAGCTTGTTTATTCCCTTTTCTGAGCAACTGCTCCACGGTACTCTGGCACCCTGGGGGGCATATGGCACACGTAGACAGTGAGTTATGAGCAGAAGTGTTTTGCCATGTCCAGCTCTAGCACCTACTATCCAGCCTGAATCTCCCCAGAACATTCCTTGTCCACAGTGACATCTGTGAAGGAGGGGGAACTTCTGTCTGGGACCCTGCTTGACCTTAGGGCCACCCTGATCTAGAGGTCTTGAGTGATAAAGGATGACACGTTTTTATTCTCATATCCCTCAGAGAGAGAGAGACAGAGAGACAGAGAGACAGAGAGACAGAGAGACAGAGAGAGAGAGACTGTGTGTGTGTGTGTGTGTGTGTGTGTGTGTGCGCACGTGTGTTTAGGCTAGAAGATGACAGCAGAACTCTTGAATCTGTAGTTATAGGTGTTTATGAGTCACCAACATGGGTGCTGGGATCTGAACTTCATTCTCATGGTAGAGCAGTAAGAGCTCTTAGCCCTGAACCACCTCTCCAGCTCCTGAACTTTGTTAGTTTGAACTTCAAAGGTATATGTGATCTGATCTTGCTTGCTATATTAGTTCAGCCAAACATGTCCATATCCTAGCCTGGCTCTGCTTGCACTTGTTCTAGAAGTCAGGGAAGAGAATGCTCAGTTACAAGTTATCACAGTATTTCAACTCTGAGCATCATAGAAAACTTCCAACTAGATTTCCAGCTCCCTCCATGGTTTTTTGGTCAAACTCTCCTTTTGCCTCTTTCTGTATGATCCATGAGCTAAGAATTGGTGTGTGTGTGTGTGTGTGTGTGTGTGTGTGCGCGCGCACACACACACGTGCAAGCATGTGTGCATGCACATGTATATATGTGTGTGTGTCTGTGTATGCATGGTGTCTGCTTATGTGTGTAGGTACACATGTAGAGGTGTGTGTCCACAGGTGCACGTGTACATGTGGAGGCTTGAGGTTAACATCCATTGTCTTTCTTGACCGTTCTCCACCTTACATATTGAGACAGGCCTTTCTGTGAACTGCAGCCCTCTGACTTAGCTAGTCTGGCCAGCTGCCTCGCTCACAGAACCCCACCCCACCCAGCCCAGCCCATGTCTACTTCTCAAGCACTGGGATCACAGACAGCCTCCATGCTTGGCTCGCATTTGCACTGGTCCTCCCAGCCTTCCCCAACTGAACTAACTCCCTAGCGTTGGTTTTATTTTTTAATAGACGACCAACAGGATGATGATTTAACAATGTGGGAGAATTACATGGAAGCAAATTTCATTGTCCATAAATAAAGTTTTTTTGGCACACAGCCACATCATTTGTTTTCTTGGAGTCTGTGGCTGCATGTTCACTGTAAAAACAGAAGTGAGCGCTGACAAGTCACCACCCGACAAACTCAAGCAACTTGTTAGCTGTCTGCTTACAGAAACAGCTGGCTCACCTGGGACAGATGTTCTAAACCCCGCTTTAGCTCCCTTGCACTGTAATTCCTTGACTAAAGAATCACTAGCCATGAGGTAGTCTTTAAAGAAAGCCTGCGTGAGGTGAGAGCACTACACCGTCACAGCGGAAGTGAGCAGAAACCCTGTGGTCCCAGGGAAGAGAGCATTGTGTAAGAAATGAGCAGGTGTCTCTGAAGACACACCGAGGAAGAGGCAGGATGGAAAGGCAAGAAGACAGGCGATGTGGGGAGGGATTGATAGGACCAGAGAGGGGGCATCTGCACAGGACAGCTGAGCACCGTTGTCCTGGCTCTGGACACGGCTGCCACGCCTTATGCTGTGTCCCGATTTTGACTCCCCGTCTTTGTCCACTGCTCCCAGGCTGACCTGTGCAAAACGTGTGAATCTGGCTGGTACTGGCTCAGAGAGGGCAGAGGCGCAGAGACCCAGCATCTTACTCCATCCCTTGTCACTGAAGAAGGAGTGTCTACTGAATGGCTCTCACCTTTCCCTCTGCACCTCCACACGATACAGTCCCCATGCTTTCAGAGCTGAGACCAGCGACACTACGGAACCGGAGACTGGGGTCTGGCAGTGAAAACAGTCTTGCAGTTACGTTGGATCCTAGCTGCATTAAACCTCTCGCTTACAGCATGGCTAATGCACTTCTCCCTCGCTCTGCTGTGCAGCACCTCGGCGGGCAGAAAACTTGGTGAGTGCTGATTACATTTAGATGTTTCCACTGTTAATTTTCCTTCCACACCCTCTTCTAGACATCATAGGTTGAGCCAATATGGCATTCGAAATAGTGAATTTTGGATGGGAGGGCGATCTGTCCGTGACACCTGTTACCCCATTGATCGCCAGGGTTGATTCAATCCTCTGGCTGGCTGGGCTGGTGTCCCCTTCCTCCCTCACTGATCCATGTGCATCCCTCCTGAAGCTGTGCACTTGGCCACAGGGGAAACCTTCCCTGAATAGAGGAGGACCGGTCTTAGGTCAAGGGTATATGAGTAGCTGCACTCCTCTGCTAGAACCTCCAGAAAAGTTCTCAAAATAGTGAAGTTTTACAACTGGTCACAAGGAACTTGGGGCTCCAAAACACAGCAGCTGTCAGTGACTAGGAAACAGTCTATCTGGACAGGTCCGTACCGGGGAGAGAGTTCAAAACTCACTTCAGCCTCTCTGTAGCTATTATAGGAGGGGAAGAGGACCCCTATGGCCACATGGCCACGCATGCCCCCTCCCTCTACACAGATTCCCAGAGAACTGCAAAAGACACAACAGAGCACACACTGTCCCGACATTCCTTCCATCTGGTTACAGTCACAGCTGGTCGGGAGCCACCAGATGGGATGGTTTTCGGGCTATGCTGGGGGCACTGGCACCAGGCTACTCAAGAGCCATAGTGAGCATGCCCTTGCCACACCCACCCAGGCAACATTGCCATGACAGTTTCTTTTGATCTGATCCCATGTTCCAAGCCCCTCACCCCCCTGGAATAGTAAGGTTAAAGGTCAGTCATGAAATGTCATCCACCCCAAACCTGACTTAAAAAAAAGTCTAAGTAAATACCCTCCAGGCTACTTTCTCAGGTCCTGGCTGCCTCAGCCTTCTTATGGCTTCAGGCTGTGTTCCTGCTCATGGCCCCTTGGCCCTGCCCCATCCTTTCAGATGAATTAGGATGAGAGCTTGTAGTCCTATATTAAGGAAAGAGAGGCTATTCTTGGGTGACAATCACCAGACATTACCATTGTATGAGGGAGGCATGTCTTTGTGCACCCGTGTTAGGTTTGGGTCCCGTACACCACGGTTTAGCAGTAGAAGAATGGATGGTTAGTTCATCACTTCATAGGAACATTTAGGGATTAAATTCTTGTTATTAGAAAACTACCAGCAGCCGGGCGTTGGTGGCGCACGCCTTTAATCCCAGCACTCGGGAGGCAGAGGCAGGCGGATCTCTGTGAGTTCAAGGCCAGGCTGGACCGACAGCCTCCAAAACAGAGAAACCCTGTCTCGTAAAACCAAAAAAAAAAAAAAAAAAGAAAAGAAAAAAAAAAGAGAAAACTACCAGCAACAATCCTGTGTTGGTCCTCACTAGCTCATGTACTTGATAAGGATGAAAATGAGCTGACAGTACTTTGCAAATAAAGGGTAGCAACCAGCTCTGTAACCATGGCAACAAAGAACCTTTGTAAAAATTTGGATAATTACAAGCCTCTGCTCAAATATTCCCACAGTGGGAGCATTGTGAATTGCCAAGTCTTGCTCAAAGCACAGATTCCTCATGGCCATCCCTTCACGGCCGCCAGAACATTCTAGTAACACCTTAAATTTAATTTATGGAGAGCCAAGTTCAGTAAAACTTAAAACTGCCAATACTATCAAGTTGTCTTTTTCTTCCTATTAAACTACGATTCCACAGTGCTACACGGCATCTCCTCACAGGACAAAAGAAGCATGCTTCGCTCATCAGAACTAGTCTCTGGTTCCTATAAGCCCTGGGAAGTCACCCAGAAGACGGTGTGGGGCACACAGCCAGCCTTGAACTTGGGTTTTGGCTGGTAGGCTATCGACAGGAGATCTTTCTGCTCAAGGGATGGAGATTCCCAGCAGCTCCATGTTTCCTGCTTCTCTCCCTCTGTCTCCAGCATTCTGAAGTGTTCAATATGTCTGAGGCTCTTTTTGGGAAACAGAAATCAATATGGTGTCTTGCTGCCAATAATTGCACACTGCAGGATGCTCCTCACTTACTGTTTCTCAGAACTAACCCTCTCAGGCAAGCAGGGCCCTCTGCAAATGTTTGGAGGATGATCTCTCCCATTCACCCCAACCTGCTCTGAAGCAAGAGCCTGGGAAATAAAATAGTTAAGTCACTGATTAGGCCAAGGCAATCTTCTAAGCTTATTCTCCTGTTATTAAAAAAGGACACAGTATCCCCCAGGGCTCCCAGGTTCCCAGTTTCAGAAGTCTGAGCATTGGCATATAGAACCTTCCAGGGAACAAGGGTAAGCAGATTAAGCAGCCCCATCACTGAGAGATTGATTTGAAATATTTGAGCCTCTGTTAACATATCTACGTGATTTCTTGTAAATGCCCTGAAGAAAATAAAGAATCTTTTCAATGGATTTGCTAAGGCTAAGCTTAACTTGAATGGCAAAGCAATGAATTTTTTATTTTTTTTGAGATACCGAGAAAGATGTTTCAGACCTCCTAGCTATGGATGTTATTAAGGAGATTAGCTACAGAGTGAGTCAAGGCTCTTGCAGCAAGACCTAAGGCCCTTCTCTGTGGTGACCTCAAGGAGCTTAGCTTGCACTGGCCTCCCATGAAGATCAGGACAGACAGTTTCTAAGCTGTGGCAGACTGGCCACCTGGGAAATCCTGCCTAAATGCTTCTCTCTCTCTCTCTCTCTCTCTCTCTCTCTCTCTCTCTCTCTCTCTCTCTCTCTCTCTCTCTCTCTCTCTCTGTCTCTCTCTGTCTCTCTCTGTCTCTCTGTCTCTCTCTGTCTCTCCCTATTTTTTTATTTTTTTATTTTTTATTTTTTTATTTTTTATATTTATTTATTTTTTTGTGTATTTTTTTATTTTAATTTTAAATAGCTTGTTTTACATGTCAATCCCAGTTCCCTCTCCCTCCCCTCCTCCCGCACTCCCCTTCCACCCTCCCTCCCACCCTATTGCCAAATCCTTCCACATAGGGGATGTCTAGAGTCTATCATTTTACTCTTGGTAGGGTCAAGGTACTCCCCTAAGAGTCCAGGCTGAGAGAGCATCTCTCTTTGTGCTATAGGCACATGAAGACAGATTGTATACCAGGGATAGACACTGATCCACAGCTCAGGGCCCCATAGGTTGTCCAGGCCTTCTCACTGACACTCACATTTGGGGGGTCCAGATCAGTCCCATTCTGGCCTCCCCACTGTCGGTCTGGGGTCCAAGAGCACTCCCCTGTTCAGATCAGCTGTCTCTGCTGGTTTTGCCAGCCCATTCTTTGCCAATTTGCTCATCATTCCTCTCTCTCTGTCACTGGGTTCCTTGGGTTCAGTTCAGTGCTTAGCTGTGTGTTTGCTCTGCTTCCATCAGTCCCAGGATGAAGGCTCCCGGATAGTTATAGACATCAAGTTCATTATCAGGAATGGGCATTCGAGGTGGTCCCTCCACTATTGCTTAGCTTGCCAATTGATGTTATACCTTTAGATCACTCGAGGTCACTCTGGTGCCTGATCTGTCTTCGATCCTATGATTCCCTCTTCCCCCTATTCTACCCCCACCCCCTCAACTTCCTGTTCCCCAATATATTGTCCTAGTTTGCTTTAATTGACACAAGTTAGAGCCATCTGAGAGGGAAGTCTCAATTAAGGACTCACTTACATCAGATTGGGCTGTGGGCATGTCTGTGAGGATTATCTTAATTGTTAATTCGTGTACGAGTGCCCAGCCCATTGTGGGAGGCACCATTCTCTATGTAGGTGGTTCTGGAGCATGTAAGAAATCTATCACAAGGCAGCATGTGCGCCAGCATGCTGCTGTATTCCTCCATGGATTCTGCCTCAAGTTTCTGCTTGAGTTCTTGCCTTGCCTTTCTGCAGCAAAGGGCTGTGACCTGTGAGCAGTAAACCCTAAGTTGCTTTGGGTCAGAGTGTTTTATCGCAGTAACAGGATGACACTAGAACAGATAATATGTTTTGTAATAAAAATATGAGTGACTAAGTTAAACAATAATTAATACAACCACTGTTAGTGCAACAGGGTTTTTTTAAAATTTTAAGTCAAGACCCTCTAGTGCCTGCTATTTGCCATGGTGTGCTAAGTCCATTCTGGTCAAGACTCAAATTGGGTCTCTCCGATGTGTGGTTTGAGCATGTTGAGGTCTTAGAGGCGAAAGAGTTTTGCAAGGTCATGATGGACCTCACATGTGACCCTGTGACCTCACAGTCTTGCCACTAACCACTCCCCAGAAAGACAGACAGCAGGCCCAATCCAGATTTTGAAGGCATCCTGTATAGGCAAGAGGTAGGCATGTACACCCATTTAGCATGCAGACAATCCACACTCAATATCTGCATAGTCAAATAACAAAAGAAAAATTAAAATAAGTCATGAAGTTTTAAGTAAATTTATGATTTGGGGCTGCTTTCCTGCCTGTCATCATAGGCTGAATGTGCTTGGTAAAGCCACTCGCACAGCAGGCACAACAGGGCTTGGTGTTCTGGTTGTTTCTCAGACAAAGGCCTTTTGGTTTTCTCCTAGGGCACAGGACTTTAGGGTCCTCTCTTGATGATCTCATCTGGTATGTGAGATGATCTCTCTTGTGGATTACTGGGCCTACATGGACCTGTACCCAGTGCAGAAATATAGCCCTTCCAGATTAATCTGGATGGAGCCGGAGAGGGCTTGGGTTGCTGTTCCCAGGGCTGTTTCTGTACAGACCAAGCCTAGATATGGGCCAGCCTGCGTGGATTTCACTCCATCAGTTCCCTCAGGAATGGCCCAGGGTGTCTTGTGAAACTAAGTCTCAGAGTTGATTGCCCTCAGACAGCAACCTGGAAACTGGGTTTCAAGAGTGACCTGAACACTGAGCAGCACTGGGACCCTGCGGAGACTGTCTGGAGAGCCCACCTTGCCTGCATGCTGAAGTTCCAGCTTCCCTGTCAGACAGAAACAAGAGCTGCTGGAATCCCCTGAAGAGAGTGCTGTGGGGAGAGGGGAACTGACCAGAAAGGGGCTCAGGGAACTCTGGAATGGCAGAAGTCACCACATTCTGCTTGGGGAGTGAGGCACATCTGCCTGGGCTAACAATCTGTTGAAACTCGAGACTTCAGTGAGCTGTGATGAGAAGTACATCACCCCTCCATACTGCATGCTCCCATAAGGCCTAAGCCCAGGCCTAAGAAATGCATGGCTCCAAGAGGAACTGGTATCGGCCCCCATGAAGTTAGAGCATCCCTGGTCCTTCTCAACCCAGCTGGGTGTGTATCACCAGACAGGAACATGTGGTCTTAGGCAAGATGTGTTTAAGCTGTTTCTTCATCTAGGGATGGAGTTGTGAGTAGACCCTTGAGTGACCACATGTCCCATTGCCCCCCCCCCCCATCTATGGCATAGTGCTGAGAATTGCCATAGGCTGTCCATGTTCTCAGATTCATATGTGGCAGCCCAATACTTCCAGGAGATGGTATCCTAGATGGAACCCTCACAGATGCAATTAGCATCCAAAATACTAACAATGACAAATGCCGACATGTTCTAGGGTAGGGGGATGCTTATTCATTGGTGGTGGGAGTGCAAACTGGTGCAGCCATGATGAAAATCAGTGTGGAGGTTCCTAAAGAGCTGGAAATAGATCTGCCACATCATCCAGCCATACCACTCTTGGACACATACCCAAAGGACTCTCTATGTCTTACTGTAGAGGTACCTGCTCACTCATGCTCATTGATACTCTATTTGCAATATCCAGGAAATAGAAATTTCCTAGGTATCCGTCAGCTGATGAATGGGTAATGAAAATGTGATACATTGCACAATAGGATATTTCCCAGCTATTAAGCAAAAAGAAATTATGAAATACACAGGCAAATAGATGGAGCTGGAAGCAATCATCAGATCTAGGAAGACAATCATGGCTTTTTTCTTATATGTGGATATCACCATTGACTCTTTAGATATGTGTTTCATTTGGGATGTTCACAGAGATCAGGAAGTTATAAAGGAGTCATGGAGAGGACTTCAATGCAGGAGAGGTAGAATGCAGTGGCATAAAGGGTTAAAATAGAATTATGGATCAGAGGAAGGATTAAATGAAGCAGTGGAGCAGGGAGGGCAGCGTAGAAGAGGAAAACTTGGAGGGACAAATAACACTGAAGACTTTTCGAAAAAGCCATATGGAAACCTACAACTATAGACATTTTCTAAAATACATCTATATGCATACATGAAAAGAATTAAAATGTAATTACCCTAGGAATAGGCTATGTCTTTTGGAGTGTTGGACAGTGAGGTCCCAAAGAGCACCAAATATTTACATGTTATTGTCATTGCACCAAGCTACCCTCCAGAACTTGAAGCTAAGATTCTACTGCTCCACATTCTTGAACAAGGACAAATCAGCTGACTTGGAAGTTTCATCCCTACTGGCTAGTTTTCAGAGTTCTAGAAAGTGCTATACATGATACCAGAGGTGAAAAGTGAGCATTAGTAATAGTCAGCAGTGAACTATTCGGACTACCCTAATGACTGGCCTGGCAAGACACTCCCAGTGGGGCAGTGTTGGTACACACACTATTGGGTCACCAACTACTTTCTGATTGTATTTAGGTCCTATGCTTGCCACCATATCTGAACTGATAACCTGCGGCTAGACAGATTGAGGGCCCTAGGAGAAAACCTACTACTATTCCTCTGCTAACTGGACATAACACACCAACTCCTAAAGACCTGTCATTATACTCATAGATTAAAACAGTTCCCAACCCTCTCAACACAGAAGCTTCTATTTGCAGGAGATGACAATTCAGAGACTCACAGCTGGTCAAGGTTCAGAGAAGTCAAGACTGCAGAATGTTTAGCTCTAAAGAAAACAAAATATCTCCCTGTCCTCCTGTCCTCCACAGGCTCAGTGATCATTGAGGAAGGAGTATTAAGAATGTAAGAGCCAGAGGCAGTGAATGGAAACAGTGTTTCCTAGACACAGTAGAGAGTATGTATATATATATACATATATATATAATAATCTCAAAGTAGTTGTGATGACATGTACAAGGCCTTGTTAAGTTTTTTTTTTATTTTTGAGACAGGGTTTCTCTGTGTAGCCTTGGCTGTTCTGGAACTGACTATGTAGATCAAGCTGGCCTCAAACTCACACAGATCCACCTGACTCTGCCTGCCAAGTAAGTGATAAGATTAGAGGCAGGCACCATTACCACTGCCAAGTGACCTTGTAAACTTAGACCAGACCAAACCCCAGTATGGAGAGGGTAGGTAAGCTTGAAATTTGCTGTGATGATGAATAATGATTGTCTGCTTGACAGGATTTATAATCACCAAGGAGACAAGCTTCTGCCATACCTATGAGGGATCTCCTGATCAGGTTAATCAAGGTGGTAAGACCCATCCCTGACTTGGGTGGCATCGTCCCCTAGGATGAGGTCCTGGACTGCATGAAAAGGAGAAAGAGCTGAGTGCCAGCATTCTTCACCTTGTGCTTCGTGACTGTGGATGCAATGTGACCAGATACTTCATGTCCTTGTCATCATGGTGAACTGTTCCCTCAAACTGTGAGCCAACACAAATTACTCCTTAAGTAGCCTTTGTCAGGTGTTTGGTTACACCTAGACAGCTAGAACATCCGATCTCCCTCAGATACAGACAGGCTTCTTAACTCTTGGAGTGGGTAGAGGGGGACCCACACATTTGTACTGGCAGCATCCGGACAATTTCCCCTTGAAGCGCCTCTCCTTTCATAGAAGCGCCAATGGATTCACTGAAGCCCCTCACACCTGCCACCTGTGAGTCCTTCCTCACTTCTGAGTACCCTATTCCTGGCCGCCAGTGTGTGTCCACGCCTGCCACCCGTGAGTCCCCGCACCTGCCACCCATGCATGCTGACTTGGTGTTCCCTGAAGCTCAATGGCCCTCAGGAAGTTGGAGTTTAGTTTCTAACTAAAGTGGAAGAGAAAGAAGGCTAGGTGAGAAGCTGCATGCAGTCATGCAGCAGCTGCCTCGCTGGTGGGCGCACACTCTGCCTCTTCATCCTGCAGGGCTTACCTTCATACAGCCAGTCGCTGAGGCCGTTGTAGACCACACCCTCCTTCCCTGTGGAGACCACTCGGATTGCCTGCTTCCCAACACGTGCACAGTAGTAGATGTTGTTCTCAAAGATAAATATCTAATTTGGAAAGAAGAAACAATAGCAGAATTAAGCATGGAGTGGGCTCAGGTGTTCTCACATTTGAACCCGCCAGGCTTTTGTTCCCCTGCTGTGTGCATTTGATTGATCAAAGGTGGGCATGGAATCATTTGTGGTTGGTTCCCCTGCCACATAATCCATACTTAGGGATTGATGAGATACTCAAACTCTGCAGAGTTTGCCCAGTGTCACCACTGTTTGTCAATTTAACGTCCAGGTTGTTATGATGGGACGATTTGTGGCTTGATACTCCTGAGTGCTGGAAGAGTAGTATTGGAATTGGAATTGGTATTTCAGCAACTCCTGGTGATTAAATTGCAGGCCAAGGGGCTGGAGATACGGCTTCACATCTCTCAGCTTTCACAGGGAATGGGGTGGTTATTGCCTGTCACGTGTCTGGATACCATCATGATGGGTATCATCATGTGACAGGAGTACTCACTACAGTTTGAGAAGTTCAGATCTTGGCAAGGGCCATCCTGGAGTGGAGATGTGGGGGATCTGGGAAGTCCCGGGCTGTCTGACTCAGGCCAGGCCAGGCCAGGTCAGGTCAGGCTTCCTCACAAAAGGAGCGAGATGCAGTTATATCAGTTACTTAAAAGATTCTCAGTGCATTGTCAACAAGCACTTTCATACCTTCTACCTTCCAGCCACAGAATGTTTCCACCATCTCCAGCTGACATCTGCCCCATGAAGCACACAGTTCCCGGCACCCCTCCACAGCCCCTGGCACCCAGCGCTGTGCTTCAACTGTCTGTGAGCTGTTCATCCAAGGCTGCTCATATACCAGGCAGTGTGTCTTTCTGTGGTTTAGTTCACTGAGCATAATGTCCTCAAGAGTCATCTATGTTACAGCATGTGCGGAAACGCCTCAAAAGAGGTTTTCAGCTGAGACCTGAATGTGTGGAATCAGGAGGGACAGAGAGAAGCTGGAGGCTGGGATGACAGCGCAGAAAGAGACCAGATCTGGAGTGGGCAAGGCATGTGGAGAAGTGGGGGACACAATTCCTGGGAGCAGAGGATCAATGAAAAAGGGACAGGGAGCCAGTTTCTGAGGATCTGCAGCAGGAGACTGGCAGCCACACAGAGCTGCAGACTAACGTCTGGGCAGGGGACAGCATATTCAGAGGCAGGCCTGCTGAGGGCGGGCCCAGTGTCTGTGTGGTCAGAGAAGAGGGGAGAGAGTCTGATAGGGTGACTGTGGTCACCACAGATTTGTGCACACAGAGGGGAGACAGTGCAGAGGCAGCAGTCATGGCATGAGCGAGCCAAGGTCCGGGCTGATGGGCAGGGGCAGGGATTTTGGCCATTCTCCTGGACGGCAGGGTGACGGCAGCACATTAGTAGAGTTGCACTGGGGCACAAAATAGAGTCTGACCTTGGGTGCATCAGCTGGCTTTCTGGGGAGGGGACAGAGTTGGTCCATATGATTATTCTCAGAGTACAATACCTAACAGATGACACCAGGGAGCTAAAAAAATATTCCTAGTGCTCAGATCATCAGTCCAGCCAGGGTCTCCGGGGTGGCACCCAGGCAGTAGCATTTTGAAGTATACCCTGGTGTCTTTGATGTGCAGTCAAATTTCAGATTCAGTGGCCCGGGGACTAGCTCAGTTCCCAAGCTATCACACTGAGTTAACCTATGTGCAGAGCCCGAGTCAATTCCAACCACGCTTCAGACATCACACTTCACAGTATTCAGACCACACCAGCTAGAAAATGGATTAGGAAATAAAGCCAGTTTTGTTTATTTGTTTGTTTTTGTTTAAAGAAATTCTAGAAGAAGTATTGAGAGAAGATATTTTGCTTAACACAGAAAAGCAAAAACATCGACTATTTTGCACTTCCTTTGTTTACAGTCCTGGAAATTGAACATAGTGTCTTGCCTGACCTTGCACTGTTTATTTGGAGGGTTTCTCCAAATTCTCCAGGCTGACCGTGAACTTGGGATCCTCCTGCCCCAGCTTCTTTCCTGAGCAGCTGGGATGAAAGGCCTGCACCTCCAGGCCTGTGAATGTTTTATGTTGAAATACAGCATTGTGGCTCTGGCAGCTTCTTTAGTTACAGGTTTTCAGTGTAGGCTTCCGGTTTTCTGATGTGTTCACTTCAACTTGGAGCAGGCTGGAAGACTTCCAGAAGCAAGGACACATCCTAATTTAATTTAGACACCTGTTCTTACAGCATTGCCCGAGATGAACCCCTAAATTTGAGCTGCTTTTATGCACTCAGCTGGCAGAGGCTTTCTGAATCAAGTCAGGCTGTAGCCAATTAGCATTTTGCATGAATAAAAAGTGCAGCGGTGGATACTAAGGCCTTTTCTGCCTCGGCTTTCAGAAGTAAGCTGCAGAGAGGAGTGCTCGGCTGAGCATTCTTCACGTTTGCTGCCCTGGATTCGGTGATGATATCGGGTAGGGAAGGAAGGACATGGCCTGTGCTGCCTGGGCATCGGTGATTCTGGGCCCAGGGACAGCAAAATGCTGGGGTGTAGCTCCTGGCCCATCAGTGTTGGGATACATGTCTGGCTTTTCATTCTTTACCCAGTAAGCCCGAGGCAGGCAGAGGGCTCAGGCTCTTATTCTTCCAGGTAGATGTAGCATGGGCTGACAAGCTTCCAGAAGAGGCTGCTGACATTAAGACCTGGCCATACATGTCTCAGTCCTTTCGCATAGCCCGCATTAGCCTCTCAGTCTCAGTCATATTCCTTGACTGAACACAGAAGGCAGCCTGGCTCGCCTCACAGGCTCCAGCCACAGTAGTCTTTACCGAAGGACCATTTTCCTCATGCCCTTGGGTTTTATTTCTGTTCACTTCAGAATACAGTTTACTATCTGGTAGGGAAGGGTCCTCCATGACTAGAGTCTGCTTGTGTGGTTGGCTCCTTTCCTGCAGGCCTGGCTGAGGTGCTACGTGACTGACATAGGAGCCAGGGCTGTCGGTGGCCTGTGGAAGCTCCAACTCAAAGTCCCACATGGCTCATGGGACTCTAGACTATGGAAGTACACTGGGTGTGATGTATCCTTAAGCCAGTTGCTGGCTTCTGTGGGACTTGTTTTTAGTAGATGACCCCACTGGTGACACTACTTAGGGAGGTTCTGGAAATTTCTTGGCCAGGTCCTAGAGGGTGATCTTAGCATGGGTATGAAGATGCATAAATAGTACTGAGAACAGCATGCTGCTATGCTAACAGTAAGTCCCAGGCACACGCCTCCCGCTCCTGTTCACAGTCTTACACACTCACTCTGTCTGGGGTGTTAGCAGAGGCTCTATGGGAAGGCACCATGTGAGTGGGAACACAAAAGACAGATGCTTTCAGTTTCTATCGGTCTACTTTACCTTTGCTCTTTTCATTTCCTTGTGGATTGGGCATAAAGTATCCTCCCCAGGCACCCATGTTAAATACTTGGTCCCCAGAGATGGGGTGCACCACCATGGAATGGCTAGTGCTAATTGTCAACTTGACAGGGTGTAGAATCACCATGGAGACACACCTCTGGGCATGTCTGTGAGGGAGCTTCTGGATTAGGTTAACTGAGACAAGGAGATCCGGCCTAACTGTGGTGGTACCATTCTATAGGAGGGATCCCGAAACAAAAGAGAAGTCCACTGAGCACTAATTCTCATCTCTCTCCAGGTGCAGTGACCACCCACCTCGTGTTCTTCCCAACCATGATGTACAGTACCTTCGAACTGTGGCACAAAATGGACTCTTCCTTCCTTAAGGAGATCTGTCATAGCAACAAGCAAAAGAACGAATCCAGAGAGGTTCTGGAAATTCCAGCAGTGGTGATTGCCTGGAAGGCAGGATGCTGGTCTCATTTCCATTGTCCCCTTCTCTCTGCTTCCTACCAATCATGATCCAAAGAAACTTCTCTGTGCCACATTCTTAGTGACTATGGATTTGGAGGAAGAACATGTCAGATAATGACATGAATATGAGAAAGGCTTGAAGGCCAGGAATGGATGTATTTTGGTCATCCCCAGTAGCCTGGAGGAGTTGTTAGGTGGGAGAGACATCAAGAGAGGGAGACAGGGTACATCAGGGTGCCTCGTGTCCCACATAGGTTTGGGTCACTTCCCTTTTGAAATGGGAAGCAGAAGCACAGGAGAACAATAGAACTGAACTAATACTTTAGAAACAGCAGCAGTGACTGGGGGTGATGGGAGACACGACTGGGAGATAGGGCTATAAGAGATGGAGCACACATAAAGAACATGAGAACTGTGGAGAGTGTAACCAGGAAGGAGGTTAATGCTTGGGTGACTACACAACGGTATGACCAAGAGGAAGAGAGATATGAGACAGGGAGGAGGCTTGGAGAAGGTCCTCAGATCTGAACTTTGCTAGGCTGCAAGCAAGGTGCCTCAGACCCTCCATGGGCCGGTGGAGACACACTGGGAGACGCAGAACTCAGGGTGGTCCTCTATATAAGAAAGCTAAGAGTATGTAGACCCCAGATACACCAAGAGTTTCACAGGCAGGGAGAAGGACTGAGAACGACACCAAGCCTTGTCCAGTGGGAAGAAAAGCAGGTCCTCTCAGAACCCATATTGCAGTTCTTACTACTTGACAGGCTGCTACCTGAGGAGACACTGCAGCCCCAAACAGTCCAAGTGCCTTACAGAGCCTGTCACAATTCCTCTTCATCAACGCCACATTAGCAAGAGCTCTGGTTGTAGGGTTAGGAAGATGAATGAGTACTCAGTTCTCTCCTGAAAATCAGGAGAACTCACTCCAGGCATTGAGGCACAGCAGCTCAGCAGATGGCCCTTTATAAATGATTTCCTCCTATTCCTGAGACCACAGGATAAAAAGTCTGTAGAACTTTGCTTGGGTTTCCATGCCACTGCTTACCTATGCTCAGTAATTTTCCACCCCAGGTCCCTCCTGGACAGGATTATCTCTTGCTGCCCTAGTATTCCCACTTACTTCTCCTTGGGCAAGCTGCCCTAGTATGCTGTTTACCCCCTTCTTGGCCCTGCTGTGTCTTACTGCATAAGGAGGGGCAGAATTTTCTCTGCTCTCTGAGTTAGGTTTGCTATGGTTGGATCTCCACCTCATTTTTCTTCAAAAATGTTCCTGGATACATATGAGAGTGGCGGTTTGAATGAGACAGCCCCGTAAACTCACACATTTGAATACTTGGTCTCCTGTTGGTGGAACTATTTGGGAAGGATTAGGAGGTGTGTCCCTGTGGGGAGGACTTGGAAGTTTCAAAAGACTGAAGCCATTCCCAGTGTTCCCTCTCTGTCTCCTGCTTGCAGATTAAGACATGAGCTCCCAGATATTCCTGCCACCATGGACACTAACCCTTTAAAACTGTAAGCCCAATTAAAATTTTTCTTTTATAATTTGCCTTTGCTGTAATTGTTTTTGCATCAAAAGAAAAGTAATTACTAGCACCCATCCCTAGCACCAACTTCTGTCTTGCTTATGGTTTCTATTGCTGTGAACAAACAGCATGGCCAAGGCATCTTACAGGAGGAAGAGAGCTTATGTTGGCAGCAGACATGCAGGCATGGTGTTGGAGCACCAGTTGAGTGTTTACACCCTGATTCACACCAACAGGGAGTGGAGATCACACTGTGAATGGCTCCAGACTTTAGAACCTCAAAGCCCACCCTCAGTGACACACCTCCCTCAGCAAAGCCATGCCTTCCTAATCCTCACCAAGCAGCTCCGCCAACAGCAAACTAAGTATTTAAACATATGAGTCTATGTTAGCCATTTTCACTCAAATTACCACAATGGGATTGGGAGACAGGGGTCTGATACAGACCAGACTGATTTTGGGTGCATGTGCAGTATGATGAGCTGTGTCCTCTGAGTGAATTTTTAGAGAGAATAACCTAATACCATTTCGTGCCCGTGCATAAATGGGTATGTGTAATGTGTATTCTTTCCCGCCAGCCTGGTCGCAGAACTGCGTCAGTCCCAAATGAACATACAGGACGCTATATTAATTATGATGCTGTTGGCCGTTTGCTGTGGTTTCTTAACGGCTAACTCTGACTTAATTATTAACCCATAGTTACTAATATATAGTTTTATAAGGTCTTATCTTACCAAGAACGCCAGACTTGCACCCTCTCCCCCTGGGATCATGTGGTGATTCCTACTCTTGACTACATTTCCCAGAATCCTCCTCAACTCCCAGTTCCACCTATCATGCTTCCCTATTGGCCAACAGTGCTTTATTTATCAACCAATAGGACAACGTATACATAGAAGGACTTCCCCAATCAGGTATGCATAAGATTGAAATAAGACGCATTATGGGAAAGGGCATGTGAGTAGAGAAAAGCTTATAAAAAGTTATCTGTCCATAAAAACTGAGAAACACCCAAGCTATGCCCCTAGAAACTTGCTCCTCTTTCCATAGGACCCAATACAAAAAGCCTAAAATAGTGACGGAGACCCACAGGTACTTCACACTCGGGTGGGCCACAGTCTCTCTTGGCAAAGCATCTAAAGCTTTTACTTGTATTTTATTCTTTTTTTTTTTTTGTTCTTACGAGACAGGGTTTCTCTGTATTGTTTTCGAGGCTGTCGGTCCAGCCTGGCCTCGAACTCACAGAGATCCGCCTGCCTCTGCCTCCCGAGTGCTGGGATTAAAGGCGTGCGCCACCACCGCCCGGCTGTATTTTATTCTTAATAAAGCTAACTTCTGTTTTACCTTTCTGTGTGTATTTTTCTCAATTTCTTTAAGAAGGTACCAGGAACTGGAATACAGTCAGAGTGACGGTCAGAAAGGGATAGGACTCCCAACGCTGTCTTTCCTGTGTGTGGCTATTTGTGGTGATTTGAATAAGGGTGGCTCCCATAGACTCATAGACTTGAATGCATGGTCATTAGGGAGTAGCACTACTTGACAGGGATTAGGAGGTGTGACCTTGTTGAAGGAGTGTGTCACCGATGGTGGGCTTTGGGGTTTCACAAACCCAAGCCAGGCCAAGTGGCTCTATCTTTGGCTGCTTCCTGCCTATCCAGATGTAGAACTCTCAGCTACTTCTCCAGCACCATGTCTGCCTGCACGCCACCATGCTTCCTGACATGATGATAACGGACTAAACCTCTGAATGTAAGCAAGCCCATATTAAATGCCTTCTTTTATAAGAATTGCTGAGGTCATGCATCTCTTCACTGCAATGGAACACTGAATAAGACACCATTATTCCTCTTGTCATGGAAGAAAGCTCTGTCAGTATTAATCTGAATAATAATCTGAATCACCTGGGTTATAACTAATGAGGACTTCCACTGTGTGTGTTTGTGTGTGTGTGTGTGTGTGTGTGTGTGTGTATGTGTGTGTGTGAAAATGGACATGTTTAATATTTATAAAATCAGCTCACGGGACCCTATAGAGAAAGTGCAGCCACATGTTCTGAGGCTGGTTATCACACAGATGAAAGAGACACACAGCTAAAGAGGTGGCTAATTACATGAGGAACCAGGGATGAGATAATTACTGTAATTGGGTGCAATTAGCTTTTAGTCTTGCAAAATCAAGGCCAAAGGGAACCACATTGAATAGCTTAGTGTTTAACAAAAAGATGGTGGTACAGCGATGGGTGGGATGATGGCAGAGGAAGGACACTGGACTTGAAGTAGAATCTGGATCATGGTCTCCAGCTTCTGGTTGCCTGACTCTGGCATGCCACTCGCCCGTATTTCATCTGCTCTGCTTCACTGCAGAAGAGGGCTCGGAAGGGCTATCTCTAATAGAGTTTTTCCTTCTGTGACTATGTTGAATCTAAAATTCCCAAGAACATTTACAACCAGAAAATGCCTATAGAAAACTGATTAGTTATTCCATGGCCAGTATGACTGAAGTCACAGATGGAAAACGAAATAGTTAACAGTTAATCCACTATCTCTCACCTAAGGCAGAAGTGGAGTCTACAGTGATTAAAAGCCCCAGGGATCACATTTCCTAAGTGCCCCGCAGTCACTATTTTACACAGCTTTCCAAGGCTCACAGTCACCTCCAGGTGCCTCTCCTGGTTCATTCTGCTCTTTCTCCTGAGTTATTCCATCAAACAAGACTTCGCTGACATTTCCTCAGATGATGTTATGCTATGTCATGTGAACGCATTTGTGCAGGGAATCTGTCGACACTGCAGTACACTGTCATCTAAAAGCTTATGATTGAGAACTATGTTTATAATCAGGTAACAAAACAGACCTCATGTTCCAATTAAGTTTATGATTTTCTGTTGGGCTGCATTCACAGCTGTCCTTGGACACGTGTGGCCTTGGCTTTGACACATTTGTTAGTGTGAAACAGACTGGTTGGATAACTGCAGAAAATCATCAGCCTTGGTCAGGAGGAGATCATAAGGAGGCTATGTGTTTCTCGGGATGGCTGAATAAATCTTGGTTGGGGCTGGGAACCCTGCAGGAAGCACTCCATGGCTGGCTCATGCTACTGGAACATCACATACAAATAAAACAGTGATGGTGGTGTGTCCTCTGTAGGTGGCAGAGAGAAGCTCAGCAAAGATCGCTCCAGCCACACCTGAGGAGTGCTGGTCAGCTGGCGTCTCTTGATGGCCGTGGCCTCTGTTCAAACTACAAAGGCCCCTTCTAGTCCCAGGGTAGTTTCAGTAACAGGCCATGGGAGGCCAAGTTAGAACACCAGAGATGGGTCAGAGATTGAAAAACACTCTGTTCTCCTGTGAAGGACTTGGCCTCCAGCTAACTTTCTGTTCCTGTTGTCTGGAAACCTGGCAAAGGGAGTCTCTCAAGTCTCCTGGTAGACAGCATGGTATGTGAAAAGTTCACCTGGACGAGAGGAATGATGGGTGCTGATGGTAACTGGAGATGTTGGAGGCAGCTATGAACGCAGACTCTGACTGCAGGGTCTCCATTATGTTAGTTTGTAATTACCTAGAGTCCAACCCTCTAGTTTCCAAGGAAGAAGGCAGGGCCAGGTTTCCACTCACTTTCAGAGATTCTCTTGCCTTGAAAGAGGAATATGGGGGCAGATCTGGAGCTGGAGTTACAGGCGGTGGTGAGCTGCCAGACATGGGAGTTGGGAACCTGTCATAGTGAGGGTTTTTATTGCTGTGATGAAACACTGTGACCAAAAACCAACTCGGGGAAGAAAGGGTTATTTTGCTTACCCTCTCACAGTCTGTTATCAAAGCAAGCCAGGACAGGAACTCAAGCAGGGCAGGAACTGGTGCAGAGGCCACAGAGGAATGGTATTTACTAGCTTGCTCTTCATGTTTTACTCAGCCTTCTTTCTCATAGAACCCAGATTCACCTGCCCAGGGATGGCACCACCTACAATGGGCTAGGCCCTCCCACATCCATCACTAATTAAGAAAATACCCTATAGGCTTACCTGTAGCCTGATCTTATAGAGGCATTTTCTCAATTTACGCTCCCTCTTTTCCAGTGACTCTAGCTTGTGTCAAGTTGACATCAAATCAGCCAGCACAGAAACAAACTTTGGTCCACTGCAGGACATGCTCTTAACAGCTGAGCTGTCTCCCCAACCCCAGTGCAATATATTAATTGACCCTTGGTTGTTTGATGAATATTCTGCTTTTCACTGCAATAGTAATACTGTGTGCATTTTTATATAGAAAAAAACACCATCAGTGACTTATCTTTCTGAGACAAATTTCAATAAATGGAAATCACAAGCCATGCTTATTCTGCTATAAATGTATGGTAAAGAGGCAAGAATAAACAGATCAAAGAATTGCACAGAGGGCTTAAAGCACCAGTGTGTTTGTGATGATGGAAAGAAATTGTACTACATGGTGACTATTTTGATTAGCAACTTATCAAAGTCAGAACAAAAACAACGCTGACTACCACTATGAATGCAGCATTCTGTCCCTCAGGGTTCAGACTGGCAGAGCGCTTGAGGAAGCAGCCAGCAGATCCTATAAGGAGATTTCTCTTGCATTAATCAGATGAAGAAAGACTACTCGGGAGGGGTGGACAGGTTCAGCTGTCTACAAACTCACTTTGAGGCAGAAGGGTTGGGGCTGGTGTTCTGTTGTGCAACACAGCAGTTCTGAGTGGCAGTGATTTGCAGCCTATCTCAAAACCCCAACACAAAGACAGACATGATAATTACCCTGGATAGATTACCACATACTGTACATGTGCATATGGAAATACCACACTGCACCTCATATATGTACTACATATCAGTTAAAATTATCATGAATAAGACAAAAGAAATGGCTCAATGGGCAAAGACACTTACTGCCAAGCCTAACAACCTGAATTCAATTCCTGTAATCCACATGTTGGAAGGAGAGAACTGACTCCCACAAATTGTCCTCTGACCTCCACATGCCTGCCATGACTTACATGCACATGTGCACACACAGACACACAGACACAGACACAAAGACACACACACACACACACACACACACACACACACACACACACACACGTAAATATAAAAGTAAAATAACATTACCATAGAGAAGATCAGGAAGAAAAGACTTTTGGAACTTAAGTGCAATTGCTACTTGACAGCCACTCCCCCCAAAACTTGTGAGCATGGAGGAGATGACCCACAGATTTACATACATGGTCTGCATGCTTTCTTAGGAACTCAGGAAAGCAGCAGGCTCAGTGGCCTGAGAACAAAGGCAGTGATGACATTCAGATTTACACGCACACATTCACACGTGCTTCTCATGGAAGCTGCCCCAAATGATTGGAAATTATTCATGAACTGACTGAACAATATACAGACAATATAAACATTTCTTTTTCCTGTACTTCAACCATTTCACTATCCAAGGAGGTACAGGGGCCTTCCGTTATCAACCTGTCACTTTGGCAGGGACAGTCAGTATTCTTGGTCTTGACAGCTTTGAAGATGGAGTTTCTGTCCTGTCCAGTTCCACAGCCGTTTAGTCCCAAATAAACACACTGAGGCTTATATTAATTATAAACTGTTTGGCTGATGACTCAGGCTTCTTATTGGCTAGCTCTCTC